TAGAAAGCCTGGCTCAGACACAACGTCTGCACTGCTTGCATTGCGGGAATTCCAAACGCTAACCCGAGTCCACGGCCAAGGTTGGGCATGGGGTGATTGCCGTGATGGGCGGCATATGCGTCCATTGCGTAGCTAGTCAGGTTTCTGACCAGGTATGGTGTTACGACAGCGAGTATCATACTCACAACCTGACATATACCGCCAATAATAAATTCTAGCCTAAATGTGTCGTATAGTGCCCATACTAGCGCCTTTTTTGAGCCCTTATCCGTTCGTTGTTTCAGTGCAGTATCGAATCTGGCCGTTAAAAGGTCCACTTTCCTGTCTGGATTGACAGACCATATATCTTGAATCTCTATTTGACGCAGGTATCCGGTCTGTTGTACATCATGAGCATGGTGTGGGTGAGTAACCGGGGTGAGCCCCAACTAACCTTGATCAATGGTGCTATCCATTGGAAGGTCACGCGACTGATGATGCTAGCCCCATACTCCTTACTGACTCCTCTTTCCTTCGGTATAGGTGGAACTTTCTGAAGTCGCAATGGGTTCAAAATCCGTCGAGCAGTCTTAGCCGGTGCTCTTTGGAGTTGGTTCTGTTTCTCATTCTCACTGTCCAGCTGCGTTGATCGAGAAGACGTTGTAAGCTCCGCTACTTGGCCTTTTCCTTCTTCTTCTTCATTGATCAGCATCGATCCATGCTTCGGTTCCTCATTTTCACTCATGATGATTCAGCTTTTGTCAAGCTAAATGAGTGATGAAATCGTATTTCTGGGGCGGCCTGCATCCGAAACTGGAGTTCAGATAAGCACCCACTAAGCCCAACAGGTAGAGAATTGGAGCGCTTGCGACAAAGAGCGTTGATGGAAATTAACAAAGCGGAAAGCTTTGAGTCAATCAAACAGGCATTGCGTGCAATTAGATTATATGCGACCGTGGCGACTGTCGGAAACAATGGGAAGCAGAAAACCGGTTATGCCAGAAAAGAGGGGGTGTCGATTCGAAGATAAAACATCCGGCAATCATTGATTGGCCACGTTGGTCAGTTTTTGTTGCTATCGTCCAGGGACCTGGAGATATATCTATCTCAGAGCCTTCTTAACGTCGGCCGATATGACTATGGATTAGTTCTAGTGCTGATGTTAGTTGCGATCTAGGCCAATAGATCCCGCATCAGGATAACCGGTAGCTATAAGTTCCATACGACCTGCACGTTATGTTGACTCTAAATGGGAGACAGAAGGATTGGAAGTCGGGACTGGCCTGACTGGGTGGTTTTGCATTTATGACATTTGGCGTTCCGTCCTCAAGGGCACGAGCAATAAGAAGTCAACAATCGCTCTGCCATGGTACTTAATGCGATAGCGAAATCAGGTCCTTATGCGGAGACCGGAGGCTTGGTCCTTGCATTGTATATATCCGACGATCACATTCTAAGGAATGTTGCCGACGCCAGGGAAAATCCGGTGCCCAGTAATGGACTATCCTTGCTCCCTTGCAGATCAACATTCAGTCTTGGGCTGGACATCAAATAGGTTCGCTATTATCATCGTCGATGACTCGACCTGTACCGAGGATCGCAATGTAGCTTCCATGACTATTAGAGCTAGCAGGCAGTGTAACCTCCGATGTATAGGATCACCTTGGTTGCGAGCCGAGAGTGGCATACCAGATGTGAGGGCCGATATGCACTAAAGGCGATCCGAATCAATAAGAGGGGGAAGGAAACCAGGCCTGCCTTTTTTTCCACTGGAAAGAGAAAGATTGCATTTGCACCACACTAGACAGATCTGTACTAGGTAGCAATTAATACACCGTAGCAGGGTGAGGGATTAATGGGAGGAGCTGTTGGTCGAAGAGGGGAAAGAAAGAGGGGGTGGCAGCAAAAAGGGCACGGGACAACAAACAGCCCACCCATCAGCCGCACAAATATATTATGATAGGTAAACCACCTGGCATGAGCCGGCACTGCCCAACTACTTACTTGAAAATCGATGAAAAATGTGCTGCTATCAATTTGTTGCTACACAATGCTTCTAAGGTCATAACATATCATTACAAGTCGTCATTCGCCACAAAGCTTGCCTGGCCCACCAATCCCCTTACCAAGTCTAGGATGTTGCATCCAGAAAGAATCCTGACTTCTCTCGTACTTGTGACGGAAAAGCCTTTTAGTTCAGGTCGCTAGAAGCGAGCAAGAAAATGGCCCTGGCTCTAGGTGAGCTAGAGCACCATCAGGCTGATAGGTCAGGGCTCGGGTGTCGACCATAAACAGGCCTCGTCGCAGCTCAGGAAAGAACGGATCATGGCCTCTCATTAAAAGGTTGATTGACTGATCGCATCCTCCTTGTGTCCGGCTTCTAGTTCTCAAGGGTCACCTTGACCTTCTTCTCAGGCGGGGGGATAATCTCATCCTCGACCTCGCCGGTGAGAGTAGGCAGTTCTGCCACTGACTCCTTGATGATGTCCAGGGCCTTTTGAATCTCATCTTCAGTGATGACCAAAGGAGGCGCAAGACGGATGATGTTCTGGTGGGTGGGTTTGGCCTAACAAACACGGTGTCAGCAAATCTACATTACCATCCACGACGAGCTGGATAGATTGAGATTTACCAGGAGACCCTTGGACTTCATCAACATACAGAGATCCCACGCGGTGCGACCATTGGTTCTCGACTCGTCAATAACGATGGCATTCAGCAGACCCTTGCCCCGTACAGTCTGGATGATAGGGTTTTGGATGGCCAGCAGGCCGTCGCGGAAGATGTGACCAAGCTTCTCAGCGCGCTCGACCATATGTTCTTCCTGGACGACCTCCAGAGCGCGGATGGCAACCGCACAGGCCAGAGGGTTACCGCCGTATGTGGATCCGTGCGTGCCGGGTTCGATGGTGAGCATGACATCCTTGCGGCCCAGCACGGCAGACACGGGGTACATGCCACCCGAGATGGCCTTGCCCAACAGGATCATGTCGGGCTTGATTCCACTCCACTCGTGGCAGAGCAGCTTACCAGTACGGGCAATGCCAGTCTGGATTTCATCGCAAATCAAGAGGACATTGTGCTTGTCGCAGAGGGCTCTGGCCTCCTGCAGGTAATCTTCGTCGGGAACCACGATACCCGCCTCGCCCTGAATGGGCTCCACCAGGAAAGCGGCCAAGTTGGGGCCCGCCTTCTCGAAGGCCTCCCGCAGAGCCGCCTTGTCGTTGTAGGCAATAGGCTTGTCCGTTCCGGGAATGGTGCATCCGATACCGGGGAGATAGGGGCCATAGTTTTCGCGCGACTCGGGGTCAGATGACAACGAGATAGCGGCGAACTAACATCCATGATCATGTTAGCTTTGACTAATTCTGCTTGATAGGACCAGAATCGCAAGCCCACTTACCGTCCGTCCGTGGAAGTTGTTCTCCGCACTCAGGACGAGCGCCTGGTTCTCCGGAATCCCCTTCACCTTATAACCCCACTTCCGAGCGATCTTGATACCAGTCTCAACGGCTTCCGCACCTGTGTTCATGGGCAGGACCATGTCGAACCCGAAGTACTTGGTAACAAATTCGGCGAAGCGAGGGAAGACGTCATTATAAAAGGCACGAGAGCTGAGGGTCAGCCGAGAGGCCTGTTCCACCAGAGCAGCTACCAGCTTGGGGTGGCAGTGACCCTGGTTGACGGCAGAGTATGCGGACAGGAAATCCAGGTACTCCCGACCCTCGGGGTCCCAGACCGTGGTGCCCTGAGCACGGGCGAAGACGACGGGGAGGGGATGATAGTTGTGAGCGGCATACTCCTTCTCAGCACCGATGGCATCCTGAGTGGTGGCAGCGTGATAGGAGTGAGCGCCATCGACACCGTTGGAGCCGTTGGCAGGCTTGGTGGCTTTGGTGGCCATGGTGAAGACAAGTGATGTGGAGTATTATGCGGGGCAACGAAGAGGAGATTGAGTGGTGAGAAAGGTTGGTCAATGAGTCTGCCAGTGGGAAGGAGGAATAGGAAGAGAGGTAAGTAAGTATATGGAAAGAGAGCGGAGGAGAAGGGAAGGTGGGCGAGAAGAGGGAAGATATAAGAATTGCGCGGGCGGGCAGAAACAGGCAAATGTAGCGAGGCCAACGACAAACGAAGAGGAAAGGGAAAAGAATTGTTCACCGGCCGAGGAGGAAAAGGCAAGAAACGAGGGAAACGAGGATAACCAAGAGACAAGATGGGTGCAGATGGGAAATTTGCGGAGATGAACTAGACTCCTAAGTGCAAGTCTACGCGGATGATCCCTAAGTGCAGGTGTACCCGGGGCGGTTGCAGTTTAGTAGGAGTATCATCCACCCATTCTGACTAAGCCCCGGATAAGGAGATGGTCGATCCACCGCGAGTTCCACTTTTGTCCACTTCTGTCCACTTTGTTTTTCCTTTGCTCAGTTTGCCTTCTTCCATAAACCCAGTGACGCTCATTTTATTACTACTCACCACCACCACAACCTCACCTTCTGTTCAGAGTTCAGACCCACGCTACGCCACGCTGCGGATCCTCGCCTCCTCTCCTTTCTTATCGGTTCGGAGACCTGTCACAGTGACCGATGATTGGTGAAGCAGATTGGTGGTGATTGGGAATTCCTTATCAACAAACTTCCTGTACAGTGTACACTACAGCAGTGAAGTTTCTCCTGCAGCCCTCCGTTTAGAGTCGGCTCAATTACATCACACTCTTCCACCACCACCACCACCACCACAACAACAACACCAGCATCATCATCAGCATCATCCAGGACCTGGGGATCATATCATCTGGTTCCTGACTGGGTTCCTCTACTACTAATATGTCAGGCCGATCAAGAGCCTCCTCGCCTCGTTCTTCCATTCCCTCCTCCCCCTCCTCCGTGTCCCCGGCTGTTTCTCTGGCCTCTGGCTTTCCCTCGGATGACCCCGACGGGCCCTTATACTTGCCTCGCCAACTGAGGCCGCGAACGCCTACTCCCTCCCCGCCCCGCTTCCCTATCCTACCTTCCCCACCCGATTCCCTACGCGTCTTCCTCTACTTGCTTGCTTTTCGACTTTTAAATGCCTTGACTACCCGCACCTTCTTCCAACCCGATGAATACTTTCAGTCTTTGGAACCGGCCTGGCAGGCGGCCTTTGGCGAAAACCACGGGGCTTGGATCACCTGGGTGAGCTTTCCCCCCTTCCCTTTCTTTGTCTTCCGCTATTGGCGGAACGCGTCTGCACCTTTACGGCATCGCTCCCCTTGGTCCCCTTGGGTACTTTGCCCACCCTCCAACACCAATTTGGTCTTCTGCGTTCTGTTCGCTCTCACACCAATCCGCCCGGTTTCGGTGACTAATTGCTTCACCGCATGGTGTCATCTTACAGGAGTGGCGGCACCAGTTGAGATCCTCGCTTCACCCTCTCTTCTTTACCGCTGTTTATTCCGCTGCCAACGGGCTCGCTCGTGCTTTGCACCTCTCCCCTGCATGGCAGGCGGATCTTCTCATTGCCGCTCCGAAGACGGCGCAGGCCGTTATCGCAGCCCTCGGAGACTACTATACCTGGAAGCTGGCTCGCTGTGCCTATGGTCTAGCCAGTGCCGAGGCCTCAGCTGCGGTACGTATCAGATTGTGACTTGACATGTCCACCGCAGAAAGACTAATTGGGAACCCAGCTGGCGCTGACCGCCCTTAGCCCTTGGCAATGGTTTTGTTCTACCAGAACTTTGTCCAATTGCCTTGAGACAACGCTCACCGTTATCGCTCTATATCTGTGGCCTTGGGAATGGTCGGTGGCTCCGAAAGCCCCTATACAAGCCAAACCGACTGGCAGGGTAATCACCACGCCCTGGGATAAGATGAGAGAGGGCCAACGGCATCAGCATGATGAAGTGGTTCTCGGAAGGTATGTTATGCTGTCCTGCAGATGTGAAAGCTGCTATACGAATGGCTAATTTGAGGACATGGAGAATAGGCTGAGGCAGTGTCTCCCGCTTGCAGCCCTGGCCTGTATTTTGCGGCCCACAAACGTCTTGGTTTGGCTGATCCTAGCAAGCGTCATATTGCATCGCAGCACCTGGGCGCGAAGAAAACTTTTAGCTCGCGAAGCTGCAATTTGGGGGTAAGTCGTCTTATCCTGCATCATGGATCTTGCATTGACTCCAATCCAAGCGCCGCTGTCCTAGCTGTATCGATCGTGGCAGATCGACTGTTCTACGGAATTTGGACCTTTCCTCCTTTACGATTCCTCTACTTCAATATTGCCCAGTCTCTGGCTGTTTTCTACGGGCGCAACGATTGGCATTACTACCTCTCCCAAGGCTATCCTCTGTTGCTGACAACTGCGCTCCCGTTCACCTTTGTGGGCCTGTATCGTGTTTGGGCACGCTCGCAGGCAGCCGCTAGCCATGACCTCCAAGTTGAAACGCAGACTCAACTGCAAACTCAACTGACTTACGTGTGCCTTTCCATGCCGCTTGTGCTCTCATTGATTTCCCACAAGGAAGTGCGGTTCATCTATCCATTGCTGCCAGCGCTACATGTTTTGACCTCTCCAATCTTGGTGGACTTCTTTGGCCTTGCCGTGACTCAGTCGGTTGGCAGGCACATTCCTCGCCGACTGCTTTTAGTGTTTCTTGTGCTGTGCAACGTTGTCATTGGGCTCTACACCACAGTCTATCATGCGTCTGGGCCGAATGCTGTGTTTTCATACCTGAGAGACCAACGGCGAGTCCATGGTTCCAAGAACCTGAGTAACATCAATGAGCCCGGCATTATTGCCGGTTTCCTCATGCCATGCCACAGCACCCCGTGGCGTTCTCATATGGTCTATCCCTCCATCGACGCCTGGGCGCTTTCTTGCGAGCCTCCCATTGGAATGAATGCTACCGAAAAGGCGGAGTATCGTGACGAAGCCGATCAGTTCTATGACGATCCCTCCGGATTCCTTCGTGCCAACATGGCCGGCGGATTGAGCTACTTTCCCCGGCGACCAAGCTACCAGTCCCACTTGGAATGGTCCCGATCATCTCTACGATCCGAGGCTACCCCCAAGCACAACTGGCCGGACTACCTCATCTTCTTCGCCCAGATAGAACCCACGCTCAAGAAACTGCTCCGTGGTTCTTCTTACAGCGAATGCTGGCGCACTCACAATACCGATTGGCACGACGACTGGCGTCGTCAGGGCGATATCGTGGTCTGGTGTCTAGACACAACCGAACAGCTGGATTGGAGGACCGCGAAACGCTCTCGCCAACTCCAACAGCGCGGTCGTGTCTTCAACCGCATCCTTCAGGCCATCAAGAATCAGGGCCAGGGCGGCAGACTCCAGTGGTCGTTCCCCTGGATCTCCTCGCGTCCCCAGTCCTCGTCCTCGTCATGGCTGTGGCCGTGGTACCGGCGGCCCAAGCATACCGTGCTTGGATTTGAGGTTCCAGACTGGCTGGATCGCCTCTGGGATTATGTCTGGTAAGGATATTGACTACGCAACACCCGTTCTCTCCTTCGCATTTCGTACGCATGTACCCAAACTGTATACCCATCTCTTCTTTGTCATTCTTCACAATCTCTCTATATGTGTCTATAATCTGGCTCATGCTTGAGGTGTTCCCAGTCTGATCACGCTCGCTGCCACTGTATCTTTTTTTCCGCGATTCTGCTCACGGTTGCACATACTTGGAAATATTCTATACATTGGAATACATACCTTCTTCCCTTCCATCTGGTCGACAACGAGCGGAGGTGAAGCTCGAGCAGCGTAAAGTATTTGCCCTTCCTTCAGACTACATACACCGAGGTGATTAAGGGGCTGTGGTGGCTGCAAGTCACGTGACTTATCTCACCAGCCCCGACGACAAATGTCACTTGAGGAATGTTTACTTTGATCGCTGCCTCCGTTTCTGTCGTAATTAGATTCGCGAGAAGGGATCATGGCATGCCATGCATAGTTCAGAGAAGAGTGCTGTCATATTTGGTATCTTTCGTGGCCCCCGGGGGGGACCTAATCAATGTACTATCTGCCCAAAAGAAAATATTCTACAAAAATGTGAGGGTGTGGGGATGTGTTTAGGCCTCGCGCGGCCTTGAGTGTCCTGATCCTAGCGATCGTCAACACGAATGCGAGCCAAGTGGTCGCTTATAGCTTGCCGCCCTGGGAATAGCCGTTGGTCTTCAACCAGGAACCAACGTCGGCGCGGTCACGGTTGACCCAGTTGACCTTGGCACGAATGGCATCCAGACTCTGCTCGACGGCACGGTCGAATCCCTAATCACCAATGTTAGTGTCATGTGACTAGTTATAGCAAAGCCGGGGAGAAGGAAATTACCTTGGTGTCCTTGCTCTTGAAGAAGGTCTCAACCTCCTTCAACTGGGCCTCCGTGCAGAAGCTGGCGGTGCTGAGCTGAATAACAGTGCCGAGCATACCCAGCGACGGGGGCAGGCGCTTGAAGATGGCATCCCAGTTGGTGGTCAACCAGGTCCAGCGGGCCTCGATACCATTGGTGTGGCTGCGCAGGCCGCTCAGGGGCATGTAGATGTCCTGGTTCTTGACCTCGTCGCCACTGGCCAATTCCAGGGTGCGCTTGATCAAAGCCGGGTCCTCGGCGGCACCCAAGCAGCGGAGGGCGGTGGTCTTCTCGTCCGAAGTCGGGGCGTTGCGGAACCGGTCCAACACAATGTTGTACTCCTTCTCACCGCCCTTCTTCAGCACGATGCTGAACACGCTGCCGCGGATGTTGGGGTGAATGGCATTGGCATCGCCGGCAGCGAACCGCTCGAACATATCGTGGGCCGCCTTGACAACGACCGGATCCTCAGCCGAGCCGGCACTGCCGAACATCAATGCCTTGAACTGCTGCAGGATGTGTCCGTCCTTGTCGGAGAAGTCCCATCCAAGCTCATGGGCCTTCTCGCTGACCAAAGACCGCTGGAAGGCCTTCAGGGCATCCTTGCTGGAAGCATCCTCAAACAACCAAGCGGCCCGGAGAGCACCGATACGGGTCAGAATCTCGTTCCACACAACGAATTCAGACTCGCTGTCGAATCCCTTCAGAAGAGACAGGAGTCCGGAAGTGCTCTGAAAGCCAGACGCCGCGAGAGCACCCGCGTCGGCGATCATACCAGCACGGTCTTCGACGGTGAGAAGGCCATTCTTAGCAGCCTGTCCCAGCTTAGTGAGACGCTCGGGGGTGTAGGAGGTGCGATAGATGGCGGAGTGATCAGCGTTGAGCTTGAAGAAGTCCAAATCGGGAACCTTGAATTCGCCTTCCCGCTCGCTCAGCATGGTATCTTCATCGAGACCCTGCTTGGTCCGCAGACCCAGGATGACTGGGTAGAGCGTGGTATCCTCCTCAGGGCGGACATCGCCCGTTCGCAGGAAGCGGTTCTGCTTGACCTTGATGGATGAGGTCTTGGCATCCTCAGAGACAGTGACAACGGGGAATCCCACGTTCTTGGTCCAGATGTCCATCACCTGCTCGACGGGCTTGCCACTAGCATCGGCGAGAGCAGCCCACAGGTCACCCGTCTGGGTGTTGCCATAGGCGTGCTTCTTGATGTAGTTACGGACACCCTGCAGGAACACGTCCTCACCCATGTACTTGGAGATCATGCGCAGAACGGACGAGCCCTTGGAGTAAGAGATGGCATCGAAGATCTGGTTGATCTCGTCGGCACGCTTCACAGGCACCTCAATGGGGTGACTGCTGCGGAGCGAGTCCAAGGACAGGGCGCTCTGCAAGTTGTCGATGACGTAAGTCTGCCAGACCTTCCACTCGGGATAGAAAGCGTTGCAAGAGTACCAGGACATCCAGGTGGCAAAGCCCTCATTGAGCCAGAGACCATCCCAAAAGTCCATGGTGACCAAGTTTCCGAACCACTGGTGAGCCAGCTCGTGCTGAACGGTCTCCGCGATGCGCTCCTTGCGGGCAGCACCGCTTGTCTTCTCATCCAAGAGAACATCGACAATACGGTAGGTGATCAGACCCCAGTTCTCCATAGCACCGGCGCTAAAGTCAGGAATGGCCACCATGTCCATCTTGGGCAGGGGGAATTCACTGTCGAAGGCCTTCTCATAGAAGGCCAGGGTGCGAGCAGCCAGGTCAAGCGAGAACCGACCGTGCTCAATGTCCTGATCGGGGGTGGCATAGACGCGGATAGGGATGCGGAAGGCATTGGTCTCGATGTACTTGAGGTGGCCGACAATGAAAGCGACGAGGTAGGTGGACATGAGGGGAGAGGTGTTGAACTTGACCGCCTTCTTGCCGCCGTCAACCTCGGTCTCAGAAGCAACATCCATGTTGCTCAAGCAGGCCATACTCTTGTCAGCGACCAGAGTGATAGTGAACTTGGCCTTGAGAGCGGGCTCGTCAAAGCAGGGGAAGGCCCGACGGGCATCGGTAGGTTCCATCTGAGTTGTAGCAATGTACTTGGTTTCACCATCGGAGGTCTTGTATGAGGAGCGGTAGAAACCGGCCATGTTATCATTGAGCTCGCCGGTGAAGGTCAGCTTCAGCTGGGCCGAGGAGCCAGCGGGGATAGTCTCGGAGAACTTGACGGTGGCGACCTGGGTGTCTTGGTTGATGGAGACCTCGGGCTGGGAGGCCACGACAGAGCCCTGAGCAGAAACAACGGCATTGTGAATCTTGATCTCGTTGGAGTTGAGGGAGATGGAATTGGTATCTTCGGTGACCTCGAGGCTACAAGAGAATGTCAGTTCAAGCTGCAGCTAGCTCACAGGAGCAGTCGGGACGGTGAAGGAGCACATACTCGACGATGACAGTTCCGTCATAGGTAAAAGCCTCAAAGTTGGGCTCGAGAGTCAAGTCATAGTGAAGGGGCTTGACGTTGGTGGGCAGGACCTCACGACCGTGGGTGATGTTGGTCGAGCCCGACACTTCTCCACGACGTGTACCGCACATCCTGCGACAAGAGCAATAACGCTTTTGGAGCTTGGGAAGAGTAGTGGAGCGAAGAGGGGAACGACGAAGGACAGGAGGGGAAGAAGTGGAGGCAGAGAGGGAGGGGAGAGGAGAAGAAGATGATGATGAGGAGGAAGAAGCAGAAGCAGAAGCAGAAGCAGAAGCGAAGGATGAGAGAGAAGATATAGAGTGTGAATGAGTGGGGAGAGTAGAGGAGGAAGAAGAGGTGGGGGAGGGGTAGAGCGCATAGGAAGGTCTGATGCTGGCGGAGCTCCGGCGAAGGAGCGGTAACCGTCGGGCTGAGGTAAAGCGACGCATCTTTTGATTCCGAATGGGAGGTGGAAATGGAATACAGTGAGTGATAAGATAGCTAGAATTGGGATTGGAGAAGCTCAACGGAGGCAGAGCCAGGCAGGCAACGAATGAGGAAAGTGACAGCTGAATGGAACGAACTCAAACAAGCGCAATTATCATTAACCTGCTGGCTCATGGAGAACAATCCCTTCGAATCTCTTTCACCCAAAGCTTGAAGGCGACGAGGAAGAATTTCTCGTCCAGATAAGCAGGCGGTGAGGCCTCGTATGAGCTGTACGAGCTGTATGAGCTTCGGTACTATTACCGTTCTATTACCGTCCCGTTATGGGTCACGGGATGACTAGTCCGCAAGCGGTCGGTCTTCAGGGCTTGGAGCTTGTCAGGGCTTCTCCGCATCACATGAGTCCGATCAAATCTCCTATTTAACTCCCCACCACCTCTTCCTCGCGCCGCTTTCCCTCTCCTCATTATTCATTTTACGCAAGCCAACTACCGCCGTATGCCTCAAATTCTCGTATGGTATATGGCGGTTCCGCCGTCCCTCCGGGGCCAGCGGTGCTTTGCCAGACGGTGCTCCAGCCAGTTTGAGGGGTTCATGATTTGGGTCACGCGTGAGTCGTGCCCTTCCCGTGAATGGGCTTCCATAGAGGTCTGGGACATTAATCACTTTAGCTTAGCCATTTCTTTCATGTCATAAAATTCTAAGCCTCCAGTCCTCGAATCATAATCGGACCAGATATCATAAAACAAAAGCTTATGTCTCACTCGGATTAGGGTAGCGCAACGCCACCATAGCAATGGTATCTCTCAAATGGATCTAATAATACAAGAACTGACTGTTGAATGAAACCCCAAAAATGCCCCGAACCATGTTGGCTGCATCCATCCCAAAATGAAAATCAGAAAATAATCCCGTCCATTTGAAAATCAAACTCCGCATGTATGCGATGGTAATGTTAAATATTATGATTATGCCACAAGCGGCCATGATGTTGAATCGTTCCTCATAAAGCATTAGGCAACAAAGGAAGTGTCCCCACAGTCGGAGTCCGGTTGCCGTTCAAACCCAAACTTTCAGATCCAGGCAGACACGTGCGCGTCTATCGCTGCTGCTGCTGCTCGGACGGCTGGGCTGCCTGGTTTATGGGCATCTTGGTGAACACGCTTCTGGACCAGCCATCGGCGTCAATCACTGACTCCTTGACTAGGATATAACCTCCAAAGCGGGGCATCAAAATCGCCCACACCACGTAGTAGATAGCTCCAAGCGCGAAGATACCCAGCGCCACCACGCAGTGCAGGTAGTACGGTAGGCTCTTGTACACACTCTGGCCCGCGCTGGGAGGAATATACGGGGCAACCACCAAGAAGACGTTCGACAGAAAGAAGAAGACAGTGACCGGCAGCGTGGCGCGGATACCAGGGGCCCAGTCAGGGAACTTCTTCGACTTGGTCAGATAGATGTAAATCAGACCAGCAGACACGAACACGTTGACAAGCGACAAGGGATACGTGATCAGGCTGAAGAAGGGCCAGGTTAGTATCGAAGCTCAAATCCAGAACAGTTTTGCAGAGACTCACTTGACCAAGAAGTTATAAGCGTCTCCGGGAGGAGGCGCCAACATGATGATGATGGAGACAACCCAGTGCTCGAAGAGACCAGTAGCCGGCGAGTTGAACGGCCGGTTGCTGGCCCAGAACTTCGACAAGGGCAGAACTCCCTCACGACCCAGAGCCTGAACAACTGTAAACAGTCTTAGTATCATTTCTTCGCCAATCCAAATATGGATGACTTACTTCGTCCCTGAGAGAAAATCACCGACAAGACATTTCCAAAAGCTGACAAGGCCACAAAGACGGACATGACCTTCTCGGCCCGTGCACCAAACATGTTCCCGAAGAAAGCGGCGGCAACAGTCTGACCCGAAGACAAGAACTGTTCCCTAGGCACCGCAGCGAAGTATGCGATATTGCACAGCATGTACAGGATTCCGACGGAGCAGATAGCAATCGGGGCTGCAATCTTCAGAGTACGTGTGGGGTTCTTGGTCTCGCTCAAGGCCTGGGAAGGTTAGCAGCCAGTCCACAGAGAGGAACATCCTGGTAACTCACATAGTTGGCGTTGGAATAACCGATAAAGGACCAGATAACATTGTATAGGGCCATGACGATGCCGTACCCGGTGTCGGTGGTACCCTCGAAAGCGTTCGTGAAGTTGTGGGGAGGGTTGTCGATCTTGACGTGGCCAGCAAGAGCCACCCAGCCGGTAACGACAACAAAGACGATAATGACTAGCTTGACGACACCCAGCGCGTTCTGAAGCATGAGGCCCCATTTGACTGCAAAGGAGTGTATCAAGAAGGCGACCGTGATGCACGCCAAGCCAATTCCACGCTGATTCCATCGTCCGACCTCAACGTCGGCAGCATTGAGGATGTACTCGCCAAAGACGATACTGTTACTCGCAGCCCAACCCAACAGGACGGCGTAAGCCGCGTACATGGCCGTTACTAAAAACTTCGGCTTGGTGAAGACATATTCGAGATAGTTTTTCTCTCCACCGTTTCTTCGCCCTGTCAGCATGTCAAGGCAACCTTGCTTTTGGGAAAACAACTCACTTGGGAATAGCGGTACCCCATTCGAGATAGACGGCCGTACCGGCCATGGCAATCAAAGTGCCGACTACCCACATGATGAGGGACAGACCGACACTGCCGGCCAAAGAGAGAATGGTGCTGGGGGTGGCAAAGATACCAGTGCCGATGACGCGGTTGAAAATCAGGAAGGAGGCACTGACCACACCGATCTGACGGCGGTCATCAGGAGTGGCCTCGAAGACATTTCCCTCGTCTGTGAGCCATCAGTTAGAACCAGTACATGCCTTGGGATAGCTGCCTGAGCAGGGGACCATCATACATAGTCCAGAGACACCATCAGTTCTGCGAAGACCATCTTCGACGGGCTTGCCGCTGGCAAGAGGCACCTTGTAGCCAGACTCAGGCTCGATTTCACCCATTGCGACGGTGATCTGGAATCAAGAAAAAAACTTAAAAACTAGTGTCTAGCTGTACTGATGAGGCCCCGAAGTGGGTGCAGGCTATATAGCGTGGGGAGACAAGTGACAGCAGCCGGAGAGAAGGCGGTTACCGACGGAGGCACGAGACCGTAAGATGGGATGGTGTGCTGCGACTAAATTTGATGCAATCGAAGGCGACCAAACCAGCAGCAACTCCGAACGGTCAGGCGTCGACAGGATTGTCTGAGCAGATTGAGACAAGACACCAGTGGCCAACGGAATGGAAGAAAAAGTTTAGATGCAAGCGCGACTGGAATCTATATCCTTGGTCCAGACACAGCACCAAGCTAGTATACCAGTCGCAGCGAACGAATCGAGTGGGAGGCGGAAGTATAGAGTGACTAAGATAAGTCAAAAATCCGACATCAAACAAGATGAGAATGTATGACAACAGTGACAGCAGTGACAGCAGTGACAACGACAAGAAGAAGAGTGCCGATTGAAGAGAGGAGGGAAAAAGACGTCAAGATGGGGGGAAAGAATAATCTTCATGCAGGGCGGGCGAAGCCATGTGGTTGGCGGACCTCCGCCGTTCGTCCAGCGGGTCTTAGCCTAGTACGAGAAGTAGTTGGAACTGTTGAATGGATCATGATGGATCATGTCTTGGTGTCTTGCCTTGAGGCAAAACTGGCAGGGCCACCAGGGCAAAGAAAAGTTTGCTGACGGGCGGAACCCGCGGTGGGTGAAAAACGCTCCACCCCTGGGCCTACTCTAGTCTCTAGGCCTCTTGGAGCCCATCTTATGACACACCTAAATTGAGCACGCCATTGTCCCCCTGCGATGATGAGTTAAAGTTAGGTAAGGTTTTGCACCATTTTGAGACAATCCAGGTTCCAGGCGGGACTCACCGTGAGCCAAGACAACCACTATCCTTCTTATCAGTATCCATTATGATCCGGAAGAACAAATCAAGAATGTAGAGGGGGAAAAAAATCCAAAGGAAAAGAGGAAATAGAGATAGAGATAAAGTTCCTCTGATTATATGTATGTACAGTACAGCTTCGTCTGACTGGCAGTCCGTATCTGCTTCTAGAAGATTCATCCTCCAATTCCACCCAGACTCCGAGATCCCAAAATAACATCGTCATATCATATCCAAATGAGGTGGTGGCATGTGTATGTGTGTGTGTGTGTGTGTGTGTGTGTGTGTGTGTGTGTGGCAATTTGTGTGTGTACCTCTCCCAATCGGAACGCCTAACAAAAACTGTGCAAAACTCCAAGGAAAAGCAAATCAAAGCGCAGAACTCCGTATGGTCGCAGTAACGCGTATATCAAGAACCCAACCCGATATGAAGAAGCAGATGAGGTAAAAGAAGAAGTGGTCAAGGAAACAATACCGGAAAATGTAAACCATTACTCACGAACTGTGATGAAGGAAGGTGAAAAATGCATCAGTTCCAGGTGAATTCACCTATCGAGGAAAACCGGCGACTCGAGCATGCGCAAGACACCCGGGGAAATTCAAGAGCATGTTCCAGCATGCTCGAAGAAGGAAAAGACCAATGTTCGGGAGTCTATTTAGGCGGCGTGGCTCCAATGGCATGTGCAACAGGTGATGGGAACGTGGTGGGAGCCAACTTGCTCGGGCCGCTCGAAGGAGGAGTGATTGTGTGCCGTTTGGAGATCATGGCCAATTTCTTGCGGAGGGATGCCAATCGGCCCCGGATGCTGGACACCACTGTGGCACGTTAGTGGAATCCTGGAAAACTTCTAGAATCTCCAAGGAAGAAATAAGGGGACCTACATTTGATAACCACTTGTCGATCCTCCGCTTGGACTCCATCTAGCATGATTCGTTCGCTGTTCCTCCGACTTTCGGCTTTGCTGCCGCTACTGTGACCGGCCCGAGACCCTTCATCCTCGTCCAGAACCGCCTCCAACATCCGGATTGCCGTAACATAAGCAATCTCACACCCGACGAGGTCCTCTCCCGTGAGTTCATTGATTGCTGCCGCGCGACTCATCTCTAGGGCGCGGTCATACATCAATTTCTCGGCCGTCACCCCCGAGCTGACAACAACATCTCCAGATGGATTCGAACCCAGAGAGGACCCAACCGAATAGTTACTGGGGTGACTCGGATGGTCAAGCGGCAATTGTTTCTGT